GGCGCGCTCCACACAGCTGCGCTCGCGGCCGGGACCAATCGGCGACACCCCCCGCCCCCGCGCGGCCAACCAGGTCGCGGCGCCTCCGTGGCCCCGCCCCCACCTGCCCTGTTTACTTGGCGACGAGTAGGCACGGCCCCTCGCGCGCCAACAGCAACCAATCAGGACCGGCTCCTACGCACTCGCCGCCTTCGCAGTTTTCTCCCGTCACGGTCTGTGGAGACTGCGCATGCTCCGGAGTCCGACCCGGGTCACACATGCTCTTCGCCCCTAGCGTCCCAGCCCCGCCTCCGCTTCCCATTGGCTGACCGGTCTCGGGGCGCTTTCAAAACAGCAGCCTTCCGGTCGATCACTCATTAATTGAGTTGGGAAATATCCATGTGTCTGTATTCGTGCAATCACGCAGTCGTTCATTAATTGAATACCTATTGTGTTCAAAGTGCTTGGGAGACAGCAGTGAAGCAAGGAAACAAAAAACTCTGAAAAACCTCAAGAAAAGGTCTGTTTTAAGTCCCAGCTCTGGCTCAGCCAGGGTGGTGCAGAAGGCTGCCCTGCAAAATTGGAGGCCGTATGGAAGATCGGATTCAATTCCCAGGTGGACTTATAGATGCCACCAGGCGCGCGCACTGTGCAGTGATCCTGGCTCTCTGAGAGGGCTTGAGGGAGAATGGGTCACGAGACCCAGTTGAGGATGCTTGTGTTCCTCTTTCTCTCATGAAAAGAAGAAAGAAATTTAAAAGAAAATCCCAGTTTTCCTGCAGCCTACAGAGTGTCTGGCTAATTGATCTATACTGAATTGAGGAATGATATGGTCCCAGTAGACTGAAAGGTTCCAGAAGGTAAGAGTTTATTCACCACTGTAAAACCTCACTGTCTAGACACAGTGAATACTCAGCTTTTTTTGTAGTGTTTGCTATAAGGTGAAGGGGGAAGTAGGAAGTCACCACCTCCTCCCAGAATACCCACACTGAAATCCCTTCTTCATTTTCCTCTCAAGAACTTTTTTTTTTTTTTGAGAGGTTCTTGCTATAGGACGCCTGCGCTTGCCAGACAGAAAAACAGAGAGACAGAAAGCGAGAAATCCCCCCCCAGGGGGGATGTCCATGCCACAATCCCTTCTCCATTCTCCTCTCGGGATCTTGGACACACATGCACACATGCCCTGCATGAGTTTGAGCCACCAGGTCCAGGACTTGAACCAGTCGACTACATGGAAGTCCAGCGCCCCAGCCATTATGCTAACTGCTGGTCCCATCAAGAACTTTTTTTTAGAGAGGTATTTTTGGTATAGGGCACATGCATGAAACAGACAGAAAGCCAGAAATCACCCCCCAGGAGGATGGTCACCCCTCTCCATCCTCTTGGGATTTGGGGCACCCATGCACATGTGCCCAGTGTGAGTTTTTTTTTTTTTTGGAGAGATTTTTCACTGTAGGGCGTGTGCGTTCGCCAGACAGACAGAGAGACATAGAGACAGAAAGCGAGAAATCACCCCCCAGGGGGGATGGTCACGCTGCAATCCCTTCTCCTCCAATTCTCCTCTCGGGATCTTGGGCACGCACGCACACGCGCCCGGCGTGAGTTTTAAGCCACCGGGTCCGGGACACGAACCGCGGTCGACTATGTGGGAGTCCAGCGACATAGCCATTACGCTAACTGGTTCCCCCCAGTTTTAAGCTGCAGGGTCTGGGACTCGAACCACAGTCAGCTCTGTGGGACTCTAGTGATGTAACCATTATGCCATCTGCTGGTCCCTCCCCTTGAGATTTTAGGCACACAAGTACATTTTTTTCTTTGTTTCCAAGCCACTAGTTTAGAGAACCAAACAGCATCATTAGCATGTGGGATCCAGCTGCCTTAACCACCATGCCACCAGCTGGCCAGCCCCTGCTCTCACGCCAAAAGCACACAGTTCTCTGAGATGATAAAGAAAGAAAAGCGGAGGGACCAGCAGTTGTCATAATGGCTATGTCGCCGGACACCCATCGAACTGACCGTTTGAGTCTCGAACCCAGTGGCTTAAACTCACGCCAGACACGTGTGCTTGCATGCCCAAGATCCCAAGAAGAGAATGGAGGAGAAGGGATTGTGGTGTGGCCTACCCCCCCCGCCCCGGAGGGTGACTTCTCGCTTTCTGTCTCTCTGTCTCTGTCTTTCTGGCAAGCGCACGCGCCCTATAGCAAAAACCTCTCCTAAGAAAGAAAGAAAAAAAAAGCTGAAAACTCTGTCATAGAAGTCCACTGATTTGGAGTAGTCTGGAGGTTCCGCAGAGGTTTTTGCTGGTACATGTGCTGTGAATTAAGTCTTAAAGGAAGCGCATAATTAAATCATAGGGCAAGCAGCTGCGGTATGGGGACAAGAACATAAAGGCTAGAGCATAGAAAACAGGGCAGCAAGGGGAAGCAGGGCTAATTGGGCTACCAAGGACCTGGAAGGCCAAGCAGAGACAGCACCAGGTGTGTGAGGCACCAGGGGAGCCTAAGAGAACAGCTCTTTCTTTTGTTTTTTTTTTGGGGGGGAGAGATTTTCACTGTAGGGCGCGTGCGCTCGCCAGACAGAGAGAGACATAGAGACAGAAAGCGAGAAATCACCCCCCAGGGGGGATGGTCACGCCGCAATCCCTTCTCCTCCATTCTCCTCTCGGGATCTTGGGCACACACGCACACGCGCCCGGCGTGAGTTTTAAGCCACCGGTTCCGGGACACGAACCGCGGTAGACTACATGGGAGTCCAGCGACCTAGCCATTACGCTAACTGCTGGTTCCCAAGAGAACAGCTCTTGAGCAGAGAAGTGGAGTGAACCAGACCCAGACCCAGACCCAGACCCAGACCCAGACCCAGGCTCTGCGAAGTAACTCTGGAGGCATCTGGGAGGAGAATGCAGTTAGTTGCTGTTTTAGTTACAGTTTATCCTACCTCCACCTGCTAACGTGGAATGAATGGTTAGAAGTCCATTCTGGCCTGGGGAGTCAGAGACATTTGAGTCTGAATCCTGACTCCAGGATGATTAGTTACTTTACTCAAGCTTGACTTTTTTTTTTTTTGAGCGGTTTTTGCTATAGGGCGCATGCGCTTGCCAGAGAGAGAGAGACAGAAAGCCAAAAATCACCCCCCGGGGGGATGACCACACCGCAATCCCTTCTCCTCCATTCTCCTCTCGGGATCTTGGGCACGCACGCACATGCGCCCGGTGTGAGTTTTAAGCCACTGGGTCCGGGACTCAAACTGCGGTTGACAATATGGGAGTCCAGCGACATAGCCATTATGCTAACTGCTGGTCCCAAGCTTGACTTAACTTTTCTAAGTTGCAGTTTCCTCTGTTTTTTCTTAAATTTTGCCAGAGGGTGCATGGGCTCACCAGAGAGAAAGAGTGGGAGAGAGAGAAAGTAGCCTTTAATGGGGCAAGGTCATGCTCCCTTAACCAGTAGACCCTGGGGCTGGCCCAATTTCCTAATCTTTAAAATGGGAATAATTGGAAGCAGCAGATGGTGTAATGGGCATTTCACTGGACGCCCATGTAGTTGTCTGCAGTTCGAGTCCTAGACCCAGCAGCTTAAAATCTCACACCAGCAGCCAGCAGGTGGCATGATGGTTAAGGGTGCTGGACTCCCACATGGCTGACTACTGTTCCTGTCCCAGACCTGGTGGCTTGCTTTCTCACTTTCCCTTTCTCTCTCACTCTGTCCCTCTCTGGTGAGATTAAAATTAATTAATTAAAGCTAAATAATTCTTGGGCCCAGCAGGTGGCATGGTGGTTAAGGTGTTGGAATTCCCACATGGCTGTCCACGGTTCGAGTCCTGAACTTGGTGGCTTGCTTTCTCCCTCTCCCTCTCTCTGTCTCTTCTTCCTCTGGCAAAACTCATGTGAAAAAATAAATAAATAAAATAATTTTAAAAATAAATAAAATAAATTAATTAAATCTTTTTTGTGTGTGTTTTTCATTTATCTTCATTTATTTACAGTCATTCACTGTACATCAATACAGTATACAAAATTTGATTTTCTATCCAGTATACATTGTATATTGGCTCAATCAAGGATATCACCATCCATGTTATCATCAACAAATAACTAACTTTCTATTTCCTGTTTCTTATATATATATATTTTGCTTTCTCCCCCCCTTGATTCCCTGCCTCTCATCCTCTGCCAGTTGCCCCCCTTCTGCCACACTGTCTCTGGTATGTACAGTTGTTTTCCATGACTTTTTTCTTCACATCTTGAGTCACTAAAGATCTTAATTAATATAAAAACTTTGAATAGCAAGCACAGCTGATATACATGTATTTATGAATGCATGTCTGACTTTAGGCATAAACCTTGGTGAGTAAAGTGAACATACTATACAGTAGCACCTCGCTGGGACTGTATAGCTTACTGCAGTCGTTGAATAGGTATTAATAGGTTTTTGATGCATTTTTTAATTTCTAAAAGAGTTTCAGTTTTAATAGGTGAAAATCAAAAAAATGTTAAGAGTGCTTCTTCTCCCGGAGACTCCAAATGGCGATGATGCAGGTGCAGCGGCAGGGCCTGGAGGCCCTGGGGGTCCTGGGATAGGAGGCCGGGGCCGGGGCCGGGACTGCGGTCGTGGAGCTCACGGAGGCAAGGCCCGGGAAAAGGAGTGGATCCCGGTCACCAACCTGGGCCACCTGGTCAAAGACATGAAGATAAAATCCCTGGAGATCTATCTCTTCTCCCTGCCCATCAAGGTAGCCGTTTGGGGGGTGGGGAGCAGGTGATGCGGTGATTAAGGCGGCTGGACTCCCACAAGGCTGACTGTGGTTCAAGTCCCACACCTGGCAGCTTGCTTTCTCTCTTTCTCTTTCGCTGTCTTTCTTGGGTCTACTTCAAAAAAATTCTAATATAACAACAACAACAGCAAATGTTAAGAGAAATTTGCTTAAAACTTAAAGCCAGGAAAAAAGTTAGGATTCAGTTTAAATAGTCGGTATATGAACCTATCAGTAGTTCAAGAGAAGACAAAAATCTTTAAATATGGAAATCAAAACACTGAAGAAAATCAGTAATATTTTAGTCTAAAGTAAAAAAAATTCCATTTCACTAGTTCAGACTCATGTAATTAATATCTGTTCCATTGAATTTGCACTGTTACTGTGGTCTGATCTTTCCATCAAAACTTGGAAGTTAACAGTCATCTCCAGACTTGTCCCTGCCATCAAGCTGGCCATTCTCTTGGTTGTTTCTTGTACTTTTTAATTCTTTTTTTTTCTTGAGAGTGTTTTGCTATAAGGCTCATCTGCTCATCAGAAAAACAGAGAGAAAGCAGAAAGCAAGAAATCACCCCCCCCAGGGGGCAATCCCTTCTCCTCCATTCGCCTTGGGATTCTGGGCATGCACGCACAGGTGCCCAGTGTGAGTTTAAGCCACTGGTTCTGGGACTTGAACTGCAGTCCACTACATGGAAGTCCAGCAACGTAGCCATTATGTCATCTGTTGGTTCCCTCTTGTACTTTTATTTCTGTGTGTCTGACTTTAGTGTTCCTGGTCTAGCACTTCCTTCAGCACTTCTTGGAAAGCTGATCTGGTGTTGACAAATTCTTTCAGGTTTTGTTTATCTGAGAATGTTTTTGTCTTTTTTTTTTCCCCCATATGAAAGATAATCTTGCTGAGTATAGCATTCTTGGTTGAAATTGTTTTTCACTTAACACTTTGAATATATTTTCCCATTCTTTCCTTGCTCGCATTGTTTCTGATGAGAGGTCCAATGTTAGCCTGATGGGATATCCTCTGAAAGTAACTTGACATTTTTCTCTCGCCAATTTTACTATCTTGTCTTGTCTGTGGTTTTTGGTCAATCTGGCTATGATGGGCCCCAGG